CAAATTGTCTCTGGGTACAATTGAGGTTCTGTGTGCTGGGAGTAACAAAGCTGTTGTGTGTGAAGGCTTGGTTGTACACCCCTAGCATACTCATCTATAAAATGAATTAAACGATCTCTAAGGCCCTGTCTAGCTCTGGAATTCTATCTATGAGGTGATGGCTCCTTTACAGACAGGGAAAGGAAAAGGCCTCAAAAGTTCAATATTATTCAGATAATAAGAAACAGGGAAAGGATTCAAACACCAGGCAGCTGTCTTTCAAGTCATTCATCTATCCTTTACATCATGAATTTACACCACTTTTGTCTTCTGAAATGGGACAGCAGAAGCATGTACCAGATATACACACATCCAGATTTGGTGGAAAGAACAACATACTCAGTGAAGAGACCTAATTTCTTGTTCTGGTTCCACCACTAATTTATTATGGGATTTTGGACAGGCCATTTAACTTGTCTATGTTTTAATTTGTTCATCTGTAAAAGGGGGATAGAAACCACTCTATGTGTCTCACAGGGCTGTTATAAGAATGAAATGAAGTAATGCTGGTACAAATATTTGGAAGATAAAATATGACCAAAATAATCATTTGTACTGAATAATAGGGGGCAGCTAAGTGGCACAGTGGATAGAGCGCCCGGACTGACGTCAGGAAGATCTGAGTTCAAATATGGACCTTCTACATTTACTAGCTGTGTCACCCTGGGCAACTCACTTAACCCTGTTTTCCTCAGTTTTCTCACCTATAAAATGAGCTGGAGAAGGACATGGAAAACCACTCCAGTATCTTTGCCAAGAAGATCCCAAATGGGTTCACAAAGAATCAGATGTGACTGAAACTACTGGACAACAGCTCTGAATCATGGACCAAATGTGAAGTTTCAAAAGAAATTATGAATGGGAGTTCCAGAATGTGCTGGGTAAGGGTCTAATTAGTCCAGTGACTATTAGATCAACAAATTGGGACAGACAACTACTATAAAATGAAGAGGCCTGGAACAGATGATTTCCATGTTTTTTTTTTTCTTTACTCCAACAATCTATGATTCTTCTCCTCATGTGAGCGTCTGTATTTGAATAAGGACCTCCTGGGAACATGTTTTGACTTATAGAAATGAGCTTAATGATGGAGATCTGGGGTACTGGGCAGCTAGGTGGTGCAGTGGATAGAGCACCAGCTCTGGAGTCAGGAGGACCTGAGTTCAAATCTGCCCTCAGACACTTTAGCTGTGTGACCCTGGGCAAGTCACTTAACCTCAATTGTTGAAAGAAAAAAAAAAAGAGCTGGTGCACTGTGACAGAACTGCTGAGAATAAAGCATCCTTCTAATTAAAACCAGATGTCAGAGGCCTTTTTCAGAGTTGCTCAAGATATAGCAAAGAACAAAACCCAGAACTGAAATAATTTGGAAAGAAATTTATTATGTCATCTGGCAGAGGCGTAGAGCTGAAAAAGGTGTGGCCCAGTCCTCACCCCCACTCCCCCAAAGCGTCTGTAGGTTACACATTACATAGGATTCAAAAAAAAGGAACAAGTAAACAGCAAATTAGCCAGCACAGAGACAGTTTGCAGGTGAGATACACATATGAGTGGCTTAAGGTGTATAATGGGAGGAAACTTTTCATGCTCCTTGCATCAGTCATTGGATCTAACTGGGTTTTTGGTCATCATAACCTAGGTCCTGACTTAAGCATGAAAGAAATCTGGTTTCTAAACAATAGGTCTGGTTTCTCAACCATGCAGAGTCAGATTAAACAATACAATAAAGTTTTCCCACACCTGCTAAATCTATCTGGCCTCCTACTCTGGCTGTTAGATCCATCTTCCCCTCCACATTTGGTTCCAAGTTCTGAGGTAGTGTCCAGTTGCCTCAGAAAAGGCCAGTAACATTATTATATTGACTGTGTTTTTTCCACTCCGTCCCACCCCTCACCCCCTTCCCCCCCCCCCCGCCCGTTCCACAACACCAAGTAGCATTCGGCTAAGAAGAAGTTGGGTTTGACAGGGAACAAGTATTTGGCACCAACTATGGTACTGAACTAAAAAATCTGTTTCAAGAAACAACATTATTTTGTTTTAGATAGCATGTAGCATTATTATTATAAATAATATGTCACAGATCTAGGATTTCATTGACACAGATCATAGCCCATTTATGACATCTAGCCTTCGGGAATTACTTCAGGCTTAAGAGTGAGGAAATTAATTTTAATAACTGTATCATTTGACTATTAACATTAAAATATCATATTGCTTTCTCTCCCCTCTGCCTGCCACACACCCTGCCCATACCCACCCACCCATACCTTTCAGTCTAGATTTTAGAGAGACCTTTCTTTCTAGAAAATGAGTATGATCAGGGGGGCAGCTAGGTGGCGCAGTGGATAAGCTCCAGCCTTGGAGTCAGGAGGACCTGAGTTCAAATCCGACTGCAGACACATGACACTTACTAGCCGTATGACCTTGGGCAAGTCACTTAACCCCGATTGCCTCACCAAAAAAAGAAAAAAAAAAGAAAAGGAGTATGATCACATTCTTGCCTCTTCCAAGGCCTGGGCTGGTTCTTTCTGTTTACACTATAAACAGAAACCAACAGAGCTAGTTTCAGTCACCAAAAGTGATTCCTGTGATCTTGTTCACTTCATTAAAAGTCTGGGGCAAGCTGGTTCACGAAAGGATAAACTTAACTAGGCAGATCCTAATCCAGATGAATTTCCTTGCTCAGACTGCAGAAAGATGCCAAATCTCAGTGATTAATCACATTCTCAGCTTTCACTCCTCTCCCACAACAGGAAGAATTGAGAAACCTCAGCCCACCTCCTCACTAAATGTTCACCAGTCAGAGTAGCAGCTGGGTGGTGCAGTAGATGGATGTGGATGCAGTCTAAGGACTGGAGTCAGGAAGACCTGAGTTCAAATCCAATCTCCGACACTTACTTAGCTATGTGACCCTGAACAAGTCATTTTAACCCCATTTGCCTCAGTTTCCTCATCTATAAAATGAACTGGAGCAGGAAGTTTCCTCATCTATAAAATGAGCTGGAGCAGGAAATGGCAAACCACTCCAGTATCTTTGCCAAGAAAACCCCAAATGGGGTCACAAAGAGTTGGATGTGACTGAACAACAATCAGAGTTGCCTTTTGCTTGTTAGGGAAGGTTTCTGCCAGAAGGAAGACACCAGATTTAAGGTGGCCTAGAGACTCCTTCCAAGACAGATCAGTGACCTCAATTTGTTGAATTTTTGCTGGCCTAATTAACAGATACATATTTTTCACACCCAGAACTCTGTCTCTTGTCATTTCATATACTACAAGATATTGTTACTTGCCCAAGGTCATACAGCTAGTAAGGATAAGAGGCACACCTGGGTCCAAGTCCAGCACTGTCCCATACTACCTCTCTTACAAATTAAATAACATTTGAACAAAGATATCAAAATGTAGATATTTGAGTCAGCCATAGATTGAACAAAGGTTTTACTCACCAATTGATAGGGAAAACACAGTTACAAGTCATAAGACATTGAAGAAACCATCCATTTGTTAAAGAATTCATATTTTGCCATTCATATTAAAGTATCTGTAGTGTTACTAATGTAGTGGAGTAGAAAATAAAATTTAAAGCATTCCAAAAACCTGAATAAACCATTTTTCCTGTCTGCCCATCTGCTGTGGGAGTTTGACTAAGTGGAGACAAAAGTATGGTCCTATAAAGAACACATATGCAACCACAAAATAATCTTGAATTGAATGTGAAATTACAATGACCAAGCATGACCCCAAATAATTATTCAATATTGTTTTAGACCATTTAAAATAACTAGACAGTATAAAATACCTGAGAGTATACCTGCTCTCATACACAGAAACTGTATGAACACAAACTTAAAACACTTTTTATACAAATAAAATAAGATCAGATGTTTGGAGCAGGCAAAGTCAATATAATAAAAAAATTACAATTTTATCTAACTAATCCATTTATTTAATGGCATCCCAATTAAATTAATTAAAAAGTATCTTACTGAGTTAGAAAAAATAATAACAAAGTTTATTTGGAAGAACAAAAAGTCAGGAACTTCAAAGAAACCAGGAAAAAAAGATGTAAAGGAAGCAGATTCAGTACTCTCAGACCTTAAACTATATTATAAGGAGAGAGTATTGTTGAAGTGTAAAATGGATAATTTTGATTACACAAATTAAAATTTGCTTGTATAAATAAACCCTACATAGCCAAGAATAGAAGGAATGCAGAAAATTGGGAAAACACTTTCATAGACCATCTCTGGGATAGGATATGATTGGGTTGGAATGTTATTGTGGTGTAGGGAATGATGAAGTGGTTGATTTAGAAAAAATGGAAACACTTCGACTTATAAAGTAAGATGCTATCCAACTTCAGAGAATCAGATTACAAGGGGAACTAAACATAATACAATGTATGTGTATGAGTGTATATGTGTATATATGTGTGTTTATAGAAATTTATGTACATATATTCATATATGTACATATTATATATGTTCACATATAATATATACATATATATCTGTGTGTGTGTGTGTAAATATACATACACATCTGTATCCGCACTTAATTGTAGCCTTCTTCAGGGTGGAGTAGAGGGAGGGAAGGGAAAAAAATAAAGTAAAAAGTGCATAGCAGAGAACAAAAGAAAACCTACAAAGAAGCAAAGAAAAGCTGGGCAGTTTTAAAAACAATGTATGGTATTTACTATACAAGCTTTCTTGTGATGTAAATTTATTGTTTTATATTGAGTTCTCTCATGCTCTGCTGTGTGCATGGAAATGTTTCTTCTTTTCTTTTCTCATTTTCCATGAAGTTTAAAATAAATCAAACATTGGGGCAGCTAGGTACAGTGGTTGGAACTCTGGCCTTGGAGTCAGGAGGACCTGAGTTCAAATCCAGCCTCAGACACTTGACACTTACTAGCTGTGTGACCCTGGGCAAGTCACTTAACTCCATTGCCTAGCCCAAAAATAAAAAATAAAATAAATAAAACAATTAAAAAAAACATTTACAAAAAAATGGAAAGATAAAAAAAAACTGATAATAGGAATTCCTAGGTGTCCTTCAGATTCTCCACCCATTCCTTTCCTCCTTTTAGCGGTGGTCCCAGATTCTTGCTTCTTAGTCCATAAGCCAGAGAATGACTTAAGAGGTTTGCTATGATGTTCTATGACGCTGTAACAAAGGACAGAATTAATCAGTGGTCAAAGGATATGAACAGGAAGTTTTCCAATGAAGGAATTAAAACAATTTATAGTCATAGGAAAAAATGTTCTAAATCATTTTTGATTAGAGAAATGCAAATTAAAACAACCTTGAGATATCATTTCACATGTACCAGATTGGCTAAAATGATTGAAGGAAAAGTGATAAATGTTGGAGGGGATGTTGAAAAATTAGAAAAGTAATTCATTGTTGGTAAAATTGTGAACTGATCCAACCTATTTGGAGAGTAATCTGGATTTATGCCCAAAGAGTTATTAAACTATCTATACCCTTTGACCTAGCAATACCACTGGTTGGTATTAGAGAGAAAAGGAAAAGAACCTATATGTCCTAAAATGTTTATAGTAGCTCTTTTTGTGGTGACAGCTGGAAATTGTAGGGATACCCATTAGTTGGGGAATGATTGAACAAGTTGTGGTATATGATAGTGATGGAATACTACTGTGCTGTAAGAAATGATGAGGTTGGTGATCTTAGAAACACATTGAAAGACTTGTTTGAAATAAAGAAGAGTGAAATCAGCAAAACCAAAAGAAAACCATTTACAGTAACAACAACATTGTTTCAAGAACAACTTTGAGCGAATAAGCTATTTTGGCTATTATAAATACCTAAATTAACTATAAAGGACAAATGAAGAAAGATGCTGTCTGCATCCAGAGAAAGAACTGGTAAATAAAAGTATGTATAGAACAATTTTATACATACATATTTGTGTCTAATGTTAGCCATCTCTAGGGTTGGGGACACAGGGAAGAAAGAAAAAGAAAAGGAAAAAAATTTACATGATAGTTTTGCTGTATATTTGAAAGGAATAGCAAGTTGTGCATAGCAGATTTGCAGTTTCATGTGAAATCATCTTTTTATTGTACTCAGTTATAGAAATGCTTATTTTATCCATAAATTAAAAATAAAAAATGGACAGAACAAACCTCAAAGTTCAAGCTCTTATATTTACTATCCCAGGTAAAATGAGAGGCTCCCTGGCCAGGGGTGCAGAGGGAGGCACATTTGGCAGAATCTGGTGTAGAGGAGGGCTGTGAATTCTCTAGCACATGCAATCTTGACAGATGTTGGTGTGTGTAGCTTAGAACCCATCACAAATTCCAGCTAATTCCAATGAAGTTTTCTGTTGTTGTTGTTGTTGTTGTTGAAACTTTAATATTTATTGCCAAAAACAAAACTAAAACTCTTTCTAATGATCAAGTTGAGAAAAGGGAGTATATTCCTGTGCCCAAGATTGGAGGGGGGAGAGGGGACCTTCTCAAGTTTCAGAAGAATAGCAACAAAAACAATTTGTTAAACACCTGCAATGAACAGCAGTACTATCAAACTCAAATAGAAAGGGAACCCTGTGGGCCATATGTTTACCTAGAAAATCACACATTAAGATTATCAAAGTTATACCATATTTTTATTCATTTTGTTAAACATTCCCCAATTATGTTTTAATCTGATTCAGATGAGCACTCAGGAGTTTTGCTTGTGCTTGAAAAAGCTTGCCTCCTGTGGATACTAGTTTGACATCTTTGATATATGCTGTGTAAAGCACTGAAAGAAATACAAAGTTTAAGTAATCAATCCCCTGTACCACCTATTATTAAGAGGATAAGACACTAGTACAGATAGTTAGAATGTATAACATTACACGGCACAGAGGTAAAAATACTGACTTTGGACCCAGAGGACCTAGATATAAATCTTACCTGTGATATTTACTACTTGTGTGACCTTGGGTAAGTTACAACCTTCCCGAGCCTTGATTTTCTCATCGGTAAAGTGTGGGAGTTTGACTGGATGATTTCTGAGGTTCCTTCTTGCTCTAACTCTATGACCCCATGCTCCTAAGTACGTTAATAAATCATGAAGTTTGAGGGGAGAAGGTTATTACCAACCAAAGGGAATAAGGAAGGCTTTTTGGAGAAAGGGATATTTTAATTGGGCTCTAAAGTATGGGCAGGATAAAGAATGACACCATAATGTTCATGAGACAATGAGCGAAGCAAGGAAGAAATTACTTGTCAGAACCATGGCTAGAAGAGCTCATGCCCAAAGGATGGACAAGATCACAGGAGATAAAATGAGCAAATTTAATCTGCATGATTGACATTTTTTCATTACTTTTTAAAGTCTAGACAGAACAACAAATCAAGCCCTGATCTGCGGTGTTTGCTACAAATTTTTGTAGCATTTGAAGTGTAAATGCTCACACTGAAAAATTTATAATCAGCTTCTGCTAGGTGGTTCTAGCCGGCTCCAGCACACCCCTGGACCACCTCCAAGATGCCTGCCCCAATAAAAAGCTGGTTACTTTACCATTCAGGCAGTAATACTTAAAGACAGCTTATAGGGAAGATTTCCTAAAGATGATTTCTGGTCGGTGTGGGGGACATTCAATTCAATTCAAGAAACATTTATTAAGTGCCTACCACTTGCCAGGCACCGTGCTAAGTGCCGGGGATACAAAGAGATTCAAAGAATAATCCCTGCCCTCATGGAGCTTACAGTCTAATGGGGGAGACAATATGCAAACAAATATATACAGAGGAAGCTATATGAAGCTATATTATATATCTCCTATATAAACATAAATATAATTTATAATTAAAAGTAGAAAAGTACCTGAATTAGGAGGGGTTAGGGAAGACTTCCTATAGAAAGTGGGATTTTGGTGAGGCCTCAAAGGAAGCCAGGGAGGTCAGTAGTAAAAGCGGAGGAAGAAGAGCATTCCAAGAATGGGAGAACCAGAGAAAATGTCGAGAACTGAGAAATGAAGTGTCTTGTTTGTGGAACACCAGGTAGTGTCACTGGATCAGAGAGTATGTTCTAGGGAGTGAGGTTTGAGTATACAAAAAGTAGGAGGGGGCTAGGTAATGAAGGGCTTTTCATTCATGACAAACAGAGTATTTTGTATTTGTGCCTAGAGGCATAGCCTATTGATTCGGGTGTGGGGTGATGCAGGCTGTCACTACAATGGTGGCAATGTCAGAAGAGAGAAGGAAGTGCATCTGAGAGTTGTTGTAAAGGTTAAATTGACAGGCCTTGGCAACAGCTTAGATGTGTGTGTGGGGAGAGCCTAGGGGGTAGGGAGTGGTGAGAGATACTGAGGAATCCAGGACAACTCCCTGGTTGTCAGCCTGGGAGGATGGTGTTGCCCTATATAGTAAAGGGGGGGGGGGGTGGGGAAAAAATAATAACATCTGTTTTGAATATACTGATTTTAAAATATTTATTGGAATCCATTTCAAGCTGTCTAAAAGGCAGTTGGAGATGTGAGATTGGAGATCAGCAGAGAGTTTGGGGCAGGAAAGGTAGATTTGAGAATCATCAACATAAAGATGGTAATTAAATCCACAAGCGCTGATAAGATCATCAAGTGAAGTAGTTATAGAGGGATAAGAGAAGATGGTGCATGATAGAATACTGAGGGATACCTATGGTTAGAGGATGTGATTTGGAGGAGGAGCCAGCAAATGAGAGAGAGGAGTAGTCAGAGAAGTAGGAGGAAAACCAGGTGAGAGTGGAGTCCCCAAAACCTAGAAAGAAAAGAGTATCAAGGAGGAGACAGTGATCAATAGTGTCAAAGGCTGCAGAGAGGACAAGAAGAATGAGGATTGAGAAAAGGTCATTGGATTTGGCCACTAAGAGATCATTAGTAACTTTGGAAAGAGCAGTTTTGGTGGAATGATAAGGTCAGAATACAGATTTTAGAGTTAAGAAGAGAATGAGAGGAGAGTGGAGGCACCTGTTGTAGATGTCATTTTTGAGAAGTTCAGCTACAAAGGGCAGAAGAGCTATAGGACAATGGTTAGCATGGATGGAAGGATCAAGTGAGAAGTTTCTTTTTCAGGAAAGGGGACACATGGACATGCTTTTAGGTAGTAGGAAATGAGCCAGTTGAAGAGAGTGAAAAAAAGTGGAGGTGGCAGGAAAAATTTTTGGAGGAGATGGGATGGAAAGGAATCTCTTGAACAAGTAGGGGGGTTAGCCCTGGTAAGGAGTAAGGCCTCTTTATCACGTGAAACAGGGATGACAAAGAAGAAAGCAGCAGAAGGCATCTGAGGGATAGGAGATGAGGAAGAGGGGAGAAGAGGGAGTTCATGGTGAATGTCTTCAATTTTTTCTATAAAATATGAAGCAAAGCTCTCACCTGAGAAAAAGGGTAGGGGGAGCCATGGGAGGTTTGAGAACAGACGAAAAGATTTAGAAGAACCACTGTTGAGAGTGAGAGAGTGAATTGATAAGGGAGATATAGTAGGATTGCTTAGTAGCAGTGAGGGTCCAGTTAAGGCCATGTAACACATTTGTAGTGGTCCCAGTCACTATAGTTATGTGATTTCCTCCACCTTTATTGAGCAACATGTGTGTAGGCATGAATTCAAGGAGTAGTGGGAGTGATCCAAGGCTAAGGCTTGACTGGGTAAACCTGGGGATATTATAAAGACTAGGGATTCAGGAGAGGAGATCAGTGTGGAGTTGAGTTGGTTTACCAAGGAGTCAAGAAGAGGAGAAAAGGAGAGCTAGTGAAGGGGAGATGACCTGAGAGAGAATTGAGGGGTCAAAGGTTTGGAGGTAATGATGAAAAAGATTAGGATATGTAGTAGAAGGGAGCAGGAGAGGTGAAAAATCAATAGATTATGGTTGGATAACATGATTTCAGAATTCTTGAACATGGAAGTGGTACCATTTGTGGGCAAGTTTGAGGGTATGACCCTCTTGATGTGGGGTGGAAGAGTAGCTCATGGGAGAAGAGCAGTTTGAGGAATTGAGTGGTTAGAGTATTTGAGGGAGAATCAATATTTATGTTGAAGTGTAAGGGCAAGAGTTGGGGAGGAGAGAAAGAAATAAAAGCTAGGTATTGAACTCATTGAGGAAGGAAGGGGGTAGGGGTATATGCAGACAACTGTTACCAGGATCTTGATTGGGTAGAAGATACAAACAGCATGAAT